TCTCAAAGTCCTCCATGTTCCCACANAAGACAAGTCGTGAAATGGTTCTCATGCAACTTTCCAAGGGATCAAAGTTGCAACAAAGTTTCTCAGAGACTTTAGTCCCAGAAAAGTATATTTGTGACTACCAAGTGACATGAGCCACAATAAATAGTCATGAAAAAATTTATGAGCTATCACAAAACAGAGTCACATTATGACTTTCTGGGGACAATTCAAAGTCCCACCTGTGACTGCTGTGACCAGTTTTTTTACTTTTTAATGACGTCGTTGTGACAGTTAGTACGATCTGGGATTTTTTTTAAAAATTTCTTGAAACTACATGAACTAAATTTGAAACTACATGAACTAAATTTGAAACTACATGAACTAAATTTGAAAGTACATAAACTAAATTTGAAACTACATAAACTAAATGTTAAAAATTTTTACTTCTAGTTTGGTAAAAAGTAGGTGATTCGTTGCAAATTTCTTTTTAATAGCTTAAACTTTTTAAAGTTTCTATAAATTTCAAAAAAATAATAATAATAATAAATGAACAAAAAATTTTACCTTGATGAAAATTAAAGAAATTAAAGTCTCTTTATGTAAAAAAAATTCTGTTCTTGGTTTACGAGTTATGAAACTTACCTTAAATTCCAAAATGATAGTAATTGCACAGAAAATAATTAAATGAACAAATCGAATATTTTTTAAGCGATCACTTAACTTAGAATAATAAAATCATGAATCTGATTTCCTTTAAGATAATGTATTTGCATTTTCAAGCTCAAAGACACGAATTCTTTAACATATAGGGTTAAGGACGTGATGACTAAAGGGATAGAGCGCTCACCTTCCAATGAGGTGGACCGGATTCGAATCCCAGCTAGACCGATCAATACGAATTCCGCACCCGCCTCGCTCCAACCACAGTGCTGACGTAAGATAGCCTCAGTGGTATACGGATCATGGGACAGAGACGTCTTGCCATCAGACTAACCTTGTAAGGTTTTCGTGGTTTTCCTCTCCATGTAACGCAAATGCGGCTTAGTTTCATCAAAAAGTCCTCCACGAAGGCAAATTTCTCCCAATACTTGATCCAGGAGTACCCTTGTTTTCTGGATTGAGTTCAAAATTAGAAGGCTACGGTGTTGAACATTGGTAGTCGAAAATCCGAAATTGTGATGGCTGTTCAACGACGGTTACAAAACGATGACATACTTCTAATTGAAGATTAAAAGGGAAAAGTGGTTGATACCCATTTTTTACAATTATTTTTTACAATTTACCATTATTTCTGTTGCATTTTGAGAGTTACTAAGTATAAACAAACCAATGGGCTGGGTTAGCCTGGTGGATAAGGTCGTTGAGCCCATGTTCAAGTTGTCGTGAGTTCGATACCCACTAGCCGAAGACTCTGAGTACAGTAAATGGTGACTGATGCTTGTTAAATCTGTCGGGTCACTGTCGTTGTTAACGAGAAAGACGAAATTAGAGTGAAGACTAGACGATTGAAACTTTCCCTTTGGGCGATTTGGCAATTCTTAAGATGCATTTCGTGAATATTTGAGAATAATTTTGTTACGACTTCGTATGATTTGTGACAAAACTTGAACTCTCATATATATTACGAGAATATTTCCTCAACTTGAAATCTGATCGCAGTGTATTGAGGAAGATCGTTAACTAGAATGGCGAAACTAGAATAAAGCCTAGACAAACGAAACTAGCCGGCCGGGTGGTCAGGGATTTGGCCTCATGCCAGGAAGATCCCGGGTTTGATTCTCGCTTTGGGCTTGAATATAATTTATCTCTCTGTTCTATATGCCCTTTTACGTTGTGGGAGTAACGTTGTTACACTTGTATGGTGCCACAAAAAATGTATCTACAATATTACCTGCTAGATAATATAAGACGCCAAGAGTCCTCTCTGTTGCTTTTTTCGGAAAAAAAAATGAATGATGAAATATTTCTTTACTTTAAACGCAATTAATTTCCTCTAAGAAGTGATGATAGTTAATTCATCTCTTTGGCGAAATTTTCCCTTGGATTATACAACAGGAAAAGGTTTCGTCAAAAAGGAAGATAGTTTCGTTATATTTGAGTATCCTTTTTTTTTACAGTATTAAAAACAACATATAAGTTGCAGGCCTTTATCAACAAATGTATCAGAAGAATTTTAATATGAAATGAGTTCTCAAAATATCTGAAAATGAATTATTTAAAATCAGTAAGCAAAAACCACTAGAAATAGAAAACAGAGAACGCAGATGGTATAGGTTTGGACACACTATCAGAAAGAAGGCCCTGTAAAACAGACACAGAACTGAGCACCTCAAGGGAAACTATAGAGAGCCAGACTTGCATGGAGCAGAACTATTATGAATGAATTAAAGACAATAAGCGGAGCATGAAGAGAAATAAAAGTGCTTGGCCACCAACAGTGAGAGATGGAGAGTCACAACAAAGGCTCTATTCTCCCTACGGAGTGAAGAGAGAAGAGCGACTGAGTGTCTGAAAGTGACCTAAGTAAATATTCGGCTTTGAGAAAAGGTTACTAAGGCACATCCTGAGCAGGAAATTTGGCTACAATCTGGGAGTTTAACAAGGTTTTCGATGATTTGTCGCCAAGAAAAATTAAAAAACCACGGTTTAAGTTCCTTACACTTGAAGCAAAGCGATGATTTAAGCTATATATATGTATTATATCTGTCATCTTGGCGAGAAGATTTATCTAGACCTTAGAACAGACAAATAGCTTAAATATTTTAAAAGTTGTTAAACTTTTTTTTTAAAACATCGCCTATTTGGCGACATTTTACCAACCACATGAAAATTATTAAAAGCGTCTTATTCTTAGTTTTTGAAAACTTTTATGAGCCCATCTAATGCAGCGTTGATGTTAGCTTTTAAATGTTCAAAAAATAATTCCCAAAATCTTTTTATTTTCACAAAACTGTGGCTGTTCCCCATATTGACGTTTTGAGGCATAATAGGTATAGGCAGCACTGGCTTTAGGTAGGCTAAACTTCTTCTAAAGTCATGAGTAACTGCAGCAAACTCACAGCAGTTATGAAAATAGCATAATATTCGCAGCAAAAACATCATTTCATGCGACGACGGCGCCTTTTCATTTTAACCATTTAGATCAGAACATTTAATGAATCTTTATCAACAAGCAAACTTTTATAATTCCGGCTAAGGTGATTCCATTAAATCTCATTTGTTTTACAGCTCTTGAAAATTCCTTGGACAATTTATATTAATTTTTAATTTTATGTTTACATGGTTTGGGATTCCTTCGAAATAAATAGTACTTAAATGAATTGCACATTGTTTTTTTAACTTTATAAATGATCGCAGAAAAATCATAACAACATAAAAACATGAAAAGGATTTCAAAATAAAACGCAAACTCATCAACATCAGAATTACTTGATAAAATTTATAATAAATAGTAATTTACCTATGGACAATTATATATCAACTACCTCACATATACTTTTATAAGTCATATCAATAAAAACTAAACCAATTCTATCATTTTTGTATGAGAAGTTAGATTACTAATTTGAAGCCTAAAGAACGTAAAAAGAAGTAATTTAAGACTAAATTTCGTGTTTCAAGAACAAAATTAAGAAATACTATTGTGTATTTCATAATAATGATCATAGTTTTATAAAAACGTCCTTAACATCAATAAAATTATTTTACTCAACTGAAATACAATGTCTACAATGTAGATAAATGTAAAGCGTTCGTATAAAAATTGAACTCTATATTAAAAAATGTTGAACAGTTTATTACGGCATTTTTTATTTACTAACACTTAACTTTTAATCTAACTGTAAGTTTTGAAATTATTTTAAAATAACAATTTTTCAAAAGAATATGTTTAAAATAAAATTTATTAAAAAAAACTATTTTTATTAAGAAAAATAAATCAAATAGTATAGATGAAATTAAACAAATTTGTAATTTAAATTTTTAGTATTTGTTTATTCAAAAAAATAAACTCAAATTAAATAAATGACTTACAATTTGTTTTCATTAAACTCAGCTGAATTTGAAATTTTTGTTCATAAATTTATTAAAATGTTTCATAGAATTTTTTTTTCTGAAAACCCTTATTAAGCTGTAGACAGAAAAAATAACTGAAATTATTAGTTTAAAATAGTATTGACAGTAGTTTAATTATTAATTTAAGTAGTTATTGATCGAAAGATTCCTTTCTCTGATATAGTCCAGTATTTATTCAAAATATTCTATTGTTATAAATGATATACCAAATTTCACGTAAGTTATGGATATTGCGCAAATTGTACCATGGTATTTTAGCTATGGCATTTTGTGCAATAGTCTCAAAGCGGATATAAAACAACTGACTGTTTGGGATTAATCAAAATGGAACAAAACATAAAAGAACAACGTGTTTACATATCAAGAAAATATTTTAAGCGTTGCCGGATCATTCCTTAGTCATGTAATTTCTTGTTTTATAATCACAATTAACCAACCAAATCATGCTATATGACACCGTAGTCTTTTTCTTTGGTTTTCAACAAATTCTAAATTTGGAGTTATTTTGTAGAATTTTAGCAATGTCTATGCGAATTTGTCATTGAAAATTTTGAAAAAAAAAATCGCTGCCTGCTACAAAAAAAAGAGCTCTTACAGAAAAAAATAGTAACTGCTGAAAAAAATAGAGCAAAACTAGAAAATAATCTACCTGCTAAGTCATTCCACATGTAATCCATAGCCTATACATAACCTGGTGCAGGAATTGATAAAAAGAATCACAATTCCCAATTGAAAACCAGCGCCATCTATTATTTCTTGATATTTCTATTATTTCTTCTATAGTTACTTCTTGCAAGAATTTTGAGAGAACCCCTAAAATTTTCAGATTTCTATTCAGTCGCCAGCCTACTGTTGTTTAAAACGATTCAGCGTCAGCGAATTGAACAATTTAACATTTAAGAAGTAAATTCAAGACTCATATAAAACGAGTGTTTTGAATTAAAAATTTTTATTGTTCATAAAAGCATTAAAATTTATTCTATTTCATTCATGCACGCGTTCCTTTTGTTGAATCAGTTGCAGAAAACACGCGATCTTCGATCTTAAAGTCTATCATTCGAAGAGGTAGATATTAGTTGCCATAAAAGTCCAATAATCGACAACATAACAGACTCGTACAGCATACATCCTCTTCTGATTTCCACAAGGAAGGATCGTGCAGGTCTCGAACCAGTCGACCCCGCATTTGTTGCCTCGTGATTGGTAGTAGTTGCTGCTGTTGTTGTTGCTGCTGATGCCAGGTAGGACTGCCTGTTACGGGAGGTCTAGCTGGAACAGAACGGCTTCTTTTGCTTGAACCTAAACAAAACAGATTCTATTAGCATTATTTTTTAATGGTTTCAAGTATTACAGGGATCTTTGAACAAAATAACATTTCTTTCATATCATATCATACTGAATATCTGATCAGAACTGAATTATCATTGGAATGTGTGCCTGGTGTCTAAGAGAGCACATACAGAACATTTTATTTTATAAACATTGTTGAACAATCGACCCAATTTTTGAGTTTACGATTACCAATGTTCAACTCGGTAGCCTTCGAAGTTTGTAAGAAGACAAAAGAACTCGAGAATCAAGAATAGAGAGAAAGTTTCACTTCGTCGAGGACTTTTTCACTGAACTAACCCGCATATGTGTTACATTCAGAGTAAAATCACAAAAATATCACACTGTTAACCTGACAGCAACAGAACTCAAACCCATGATCCAGTGAGGATATTCAACCCATGATCTACCACTGAGGATAGTTTACGTAAGAACGTGAGGCATGTGCAGAATTTTTATTGACCAGCTGTCGCTGGGATTCGAAATCGGGTCAGCTTATTGGGAGGCAAGTACTCTATCCCTTGAGCCACCACAGCTCTACTCTTAACATTTATAGAGTGTACTAAAAACTTGGTGAGATGCATCGTTCCATGTATTCCCTACCTTTATGCGTCGAATGATTGCAAATAAATTCTCTTAAAACTGGACGAGTCAGTTAGGCTCACCATTTATTTTCAAATTCTGTGATCTGTACCTGTGTTTGGCTATAAGTAGCTACTTAGGGCTTAAGGGTTTTCCTCAAGCTGAAAAGGAAATCAACTTCCTCCATAAAAATCGAAGAAAATTCTTAATTTGTTACTCATTTATTTAGGAACTAATTAATCCTTAGGAATATTTTTTGTTTCATTTTATTCAACACAATATGTTCAACCAATTCAACCTACCAATCAAATATTATTTTTGAAATGAGATAGCTTAAGGCTAAAGGTAATAACAAAGGCTAAAAATGATAAAGGTTCCAAAATTTAAAAGCTTTGTGATAAGGGTTCCCAGATGGCAGTATAATATTGGTTTTAATGTCAGTAATAATCGCTTTCAAAAAATCCGATTTATAAATGATTAACAAATATACGATGCAAGCTTGAAACAGTACTAAATTTAATTATGCTAGTTTAATCTTTAAGAGGTTCGCTTGCATAAAAAATCATTTAATATCGAGATGGAATCTACTTTTACAAAACAGGGTTAGAAATGTTTGTTGAAATCGAGGATGAGTCATTATTTGCAAATTAAGAGTAAAAAGCATTCTCAAACCGACAATAAATTTACATTCTCAGGGTTTATTTTAGAATTTATGACCATCAGCGTAACAAGGTTTATTTGCGCAGGTTTTTATGTACTTTCTATAACACTTTAAACGCGAAAATTGGGCTGATTATTAAGTTTCCAACACGAACAAAATATCACATTTGTGAACCTGGACAGATCTAAGGCAAAAACAAAGTTTTAAGGCAAAATTAAAACTAGAAATTTTTTTATTTAGTTCTTTGCATGTGTCACAATACCCAAAAAATGACCAAAATATCAACAACAAAAAGTTTATTGCTCATAATAAAACTTCAAACTATTTTAAAATGCACTGAAAAAAAGTCATCTCTATATCTACATTTTAAGAAAAAGTTATGAATGATTTTAGATTACCCTACTACAGAAACTTGATCAGCAGACACACTTTAAAGCAGGGCTCGAAAAAACTCAGAAATTTTACCCGTCCCCGAGGACGGCTTGTCCAACAATGTACCCATCCTCCTTTGAAACTAACCCGTTTCTTCTAAATAAATAAAAATATTATTTTTTCATATTTATTACAAACATTTATATAAATTACACAATGAATTAGTAGGTACTAGGATTACATTCTACAGTAATAAAAGAAATACTAGGTTACTAATAGTAAAACCTAGTATTTCTTTTATGAAATAATTTAAATGACAAAGGTCAAGTTATCTGGAATGTCAATTTATCCGAGGGTACTGCGTTTTTNTCTACCGTAAAGTGCTCGACTTCGCGTGCAGGTCGTCGGGCTACCGAAGCGGGGGTGCCATCCCCTCTGCAGAGGATCAAAATTGTGATGGCATGTCTTCGGATCATCCTCAGGGATGTTTCCCAGACCGTCGCCAATAGCCCATTGCGCAGCTCTAAAGCGACGTAAACGATCTACAAGAACAAGAACATACTGAATATCTGAACAGAACTGAATTATCATTGGAATGTGTGCTTGGTGACTAAGGGAGCACACACTGAACATTTTATTTTATAACCATTGATGAACAGTCGACCCAATTTTTGAGTTTACGATTACCAATGTTTAAATCAGTAGCCTTCTAATTTTGTAAGAAGACAGGAGAACTCGCGGATCAAGTATAGAGAGAAAGTTTCACTTTGTGGAAGACTTTTTCACTGAACTAACCCACATATGCGTTACATTCTGAGGAAAATCACGAAAACCTCCTTCGGTTATAGCCTAACAGCAAGAGAACTCAAACGCATGAACCAGTGAGGATATTCAACTCATGATCTACCACTGAGGATATTTTACGTCAGCACGCGAGCCGTGTGCGGAATTCGTATCGACCAGCTATCACTGGGGTTCGAAATCGGGTCACCTCATTGGGAGGCAAGTACTATATCTCTTGAGCCAACACGGCTCTAGATTTATAGAGTGTACTAAAAACTTGATGAGGTGTATCTTTCCATGTATTCCCTATCTTTATGCGTCGAATGATTGCAAATAAATTATCTTCAAACTGGACGAATCAGTTAGGCTCACCGTTTATTTTCAAATTCTGTGATCCGTAAATTGAATTTTTTTATATTTTAATGATTTTAAAGAACATATGTTTATTCATATTTTTTTAAGAAGTATCAGTCACGGTATTAAAGGAACTAGCATTTTTAAAGATTTTTAAAAAATGACAAAAATTAATACTTTTTTTCCATTTATGAAGATTAAAGTAAAGAAAATGTTCATTAATTTCTAATTACAAGACCTGTACAAAGTAAATAGAGTTAAAAACGCATCGGAAACGATATATGTAACTTAAAAATGAGGCAAAATGTTTTTTATTCTAATTGGGTTGTAAGCAACTCACATAACCATACCTGTGCTTGTTTATAAGTTGTTACTTACGGCTTTAAGGTTCTCTTCAAGCTGAAAAGGAAATCAACTTCCTCCATAAAAATCGAAGAAAATCCTTTATTTATTACTCATTTATTTAGTAACTAATTAATCCTTAGGAATATTTCTTATTTCGTTTTATTCAACTCAATATGTTCAATCAATTCAACCTACCTATCATATATTATTTTTTAAATGAGTTAGCTTAAGGCTAAAGGTTAAAAATGATAAAGCTTCCAAAATTTAAAAGCTTTGTAATAAAGGTTCCCAGATAACAGTGTAATGTTGATTTTAATGTCAGCAATTATCATTGTCAAAAGGTCCGATAAGGTTTATAAATGATTAGCAAATAAACCATGCAAGCCTTAAACTATACGGAATTTAACCATGACAGTTTACGCTTTGAGAGGTTCGCTTGCACAAGAAATCATTTAATATCGAAATTGAATCTACTTCTACAAAACAGAGTTAGAAACGTTTGTTGAAATCGAAGACGAGTCATCATTCGCAAATTAAGAGTAGAGAGCATTCTGAAACCAACTATAAATTTACTCTCTCAGGGTTTATTTTAGACTTTGTGACCATCAACCCAACAAAGTTTATTTGCACAGGTTTTTATGTACTTTCTAAAACACTTAAAAAGCGAAAATTGGGCTGATTATTAAGTTTTTAACACGAACAAAATATTACATTTGTGAACCTGGACAGAGCTAAGGCAAAAACAAAGTTTTCAGTCAAGGTTAAAAAAGAATTTTTTTAAGTTAGTTTTTTGCATGTGCTACCTCAATTTTTAAGGAAACAGGCTAATATTTCTACTAAGTTTAAAAGAGGATAAATTAGTCAACGTTTCTTTGCCAACCAAATTTAAAGGAAAATACAGCGTTTGTCGTAAGATTTCCTGCTATCTGGGTTGTTGCAGACATTAAAATCAACCTTATATAGCCATCAAGGAATTACATAATGAACAAAAACTGCTTTTTTTTCAATTAGCAATATGTAAATATGCTTACCCTGAGTTTTTTTCCGCGTTCCTTTCCGTCCTCTAGCTTCTTTCCTATTCCCAACTTCACTCCCGGATTCTTGACTAGACGAAGACAATGGGGTACCTTCACTATCACGGGGCATGCTTTCATAACCACTACTCGTTCCGGAAAACTGAGGAGTTTTGGCCAGTTTTCCTAATAGCTCTTTAGTTTCCTTAATGTCCGCACTAATAACGCTACTGTCACTTCCATGGCCACTGCTAGAATGCCTAGCAGCCCATTTAGCTTCCTTTTTTGAAAGCGCACTAGTTGGTGTTAGGGAAGTTGTAACAACAGATGGAGCTCCTGACAAGTATGAGTAAGATTCAGCACACACTATAGCGTCTGATCGCGTTGACGGAATGTTGTTGCTGACTGGGTTTGTAGGTGTTGATGTACTTCGAATGAGAATTTGCGATTTTTGTCCGTCAGGAGACTCCCCCGAAGCATAAGGTCCACCAACTGCCTCCGCACCATTGTTTGAACTACATTGCACATGTTGTTTACTTTGTTTACTGGGACTACCTCGATGGTTAAGCAAACCTCGAGGAGGTAGTTTAGGACTACCTTTTTTCCGTTGGTGTTGCTTAACTAGAGCAAACTCGTGCCTTTGTTCCAGCATCTCAGTTGATTTTCCGATGTAAGTAGATTGCTCCGAGATAATTTTAGATTTAGAAGTCCTTTGAGAAAAGTATTTTGTGGAATGAAATGGTACGGGGCTCAAAGATGGACCCTCACTATACACACGGCACCTTTGTTCTTGGATAATTTCGGTTAAGGAATGTATTTTCTCTGAAGAAGTGGACACATTGTTTTGTATTGAATCTGAAACACTTTTTGAAACACATCTTTCGGTAGATGCAATGTTTTCTCTTGATGTCCTGATGAGGACATCAGCTGGGTTACTTTTTACAGCATGTGAATCAGAAGATTCTTTATGATCGTCTAATCTCCCAGATGACGTACTCCATCTGTGCTTAGGTATGATTGGCGGGCTTTCGTTATTTTTTCTTGCCAAAGTCTCTCTCTCCAAAGACTTTAGGGAGTTAAACTCTTCAACTGGAATTTTTACATACTTTGTTTGTTTAACTGTAGGAGGAACAATTTGTGTTGGTTTCCCAAACTGAGAAATGCAGTCTGGGAAAAGAGGAACTTTTTGTATTTTATTATAAAAAGCTTCTAATCGAAGTCCATTCATTGGCTTAACGTTAAACTGAAAATCAAAATTTTCAATGTCTAATTCAGCTGGTTCACTTTGTATACTATTTACATCGTTTTCTCTAAGTTCTTCTAAGCTTGAGTCTGCACTATGGTGAAGTTTTGTCACAAATGGAAAGCGATTATCAGCACCATAAAAATTACTAAGTACTTGATGCGTTAGGGGAGCTTTCCATATTTCTTGATTGCTAGAAGTTTTCTCTATCATTTTTCTAAGATTTGCTAATCTCTCTAGTTTAGAAGCTAACATATTATTTTTAGTTCTTAAATCATCGTTAGAGTTTTGGTTTTTTGTTTGTCCTAAACGTGAAGCATGAGGAAGTGGTCCTTCTCTCAACAAGTTCCACGTCAGATTTTCATCTAAATTATGACTATCTGTAGCCCAGCCTTCTGGAACACTTTGACTATCAAAGTCAACACTTACAGCTCTAGAGTCTGTAAATGAAGAAGCCAGATTTAAGTCGTCAGCACTTAATGCATGCAACGGATGTTCAATGCCTTCAAAGCTGTCTGTGTCGCTGAAGTGATGATTGTCAACCATACTTTCTTTCGGCCAACCACAACTTTTGAAGATGTCTTCTTCAGTAACTTGTATACTGGAGTCAGCCATTGCAACGTTTTCCGTTAAATTATCATTAAGGTACAAGCAACCATCCTTATCTTCAATGTTAGTGTTCGAAAGCGATATATTATCTTCAGATAAAGAATATTGGCCTCTATCTTCGCTATTGTTTTCGTTGAAATCAACTGAACTTGAGGAAGATAGTGAGCTGCCATGGTCCGTATGTCCAATCAGCTCACTTAGATTGCCATTGATAGAATTTTCTAAATCGGAAACAATTTGTGAACCAAGCTTATTTTTCTTAGCCTCGACCTCTTCTTTTTGAGGCAATTCCTTCTTCATATCAGAAGTATGAGAATCTTTTAGAGCTAACGACGATGGTTTGGCATAATGATGCTTATCAATATCAGTATGCGAGCCATGTAAAATGGGTTCACTTGCTTTGGTCTTTCTGTGCTTCTCCGATAGATGCGGGCTGCCATGCTTTGTCTTTTCAGATCTACCTGGAGGCCGATCAATCCATACTTCTTTTCTTGACTCGGACTCCGGCATGACTCTTGAATGATCTTCAACCCATTTTCTGATCATAGTTTCTTTTTGGACATCCATATAACCATACATTCCAGGTCCATCTACCCATTTTTCTTTCTGTAGCTGGTGAAGTGTTCTAGAATCAAACTTTGGCTTCGTAAATCTCGGTCCATCTATCCACGTTTCATCACTTGTAGGTTTAGGTTCTTTCATAAGTAACTTCATGGCATTTTCGGCCTGAATTTGCTGCTGCTGCATGTACAATTGTTGCTGCGCAGTAGCATCTTGTTTGTGTGAGCGTTTTGATTTGCGCTGAGATTGAGGACTCCCAGTCAAAGTACTTGCATGCACCGGTACAGATTTCTGATGCACTTCTGGAATGGTAGGTTTTGAAATTCGGCTAGATGAGCTTTTATTTAAAGAGTCTGTCGAACCTTTGCTCTTCTTACCATCGGCACTGAAATCCATCATGACGTACTTGCTGATTTTTGAGGATAATTTAGGGCTATCAGTGTCACTGGACTTGTGTTTTGGTGAAGCATAAGGTGAAGAAGACACGGATTTTTTCTTTGGGGATGCAGCACAGCTGCTTTTTACTGATTCATTTAAGGCACTTTTAAGAGAATGTTCACTTTTTGGATCTTTACTCGTTGAAGCAGTGTTACCACTTACCCCACCAGCCACGGTTTTTTCCAAGTTGTGACTTGGCAAGTGTAATTTAGTAAGTTGTTTTCGCGAAGATGTACCAGGTGAACTTGTGGATGTGTTTTGAGTTTCTTTGGCTAGAGGAGATATAGGCTGGTTGCCACGTCTATCACAGATACCCCCTGAAAGGGGGCTATTTCGAGCGGAACCGACAAAAATCACAGTTTCACATGATTGTTCACTGCTTGATGTATAATCTGGATCACTGCTGCCAGATTTAACAACGCCGTCCTCACCAACAGCATGGATTCGAACAAATGGTCTACAGACACCTTTCTCATCCCCTATAGGACCTAATTCGGATGTTGGGGCAAACTGTCAAAAAATAAAAAAAGAGATATAATTTCAATGTCAAAAAGAAACAAGAAAGATATAAAAAGTAATGAAAAATTTAGTTTAGTGCTGAGTAAGCGACGTTAAAGGAAATTTTTAAGTGAAACTCAACAAAAGTCACATACTTTAAAGCGACACCAATCAAATTTCATAAACTGACATTATAATTATTGTATTATTGTTCCTTTTTCATATACAAATCGGCAGATGATTTTTTGATAAAAATAATTCTCGAAATATTCGAAATCTAATTTAATGAATGGTTGATATTTATGTAAAATAGTTTTATAAAAAAATAGTTTAGACTAAGGAAATTATTAAATGTATTCAGAAATTTTAGTTTAAACAACTAAGCATGTTTTAAACGTGTTTTAGTTATTTTTAAGTATAAAATAATTTTTGTCGTTATATTACTATTATAAAAAGATGGCTTCTAAGTTTAAGCGTTATATTTGCAGTAAGTTTCCAATACTTATAAATGGAACGGTATGGATTTAACATACCTTTTCAATGCATTTTGTTTCACTTTCAAAAACCACAGAATTTATTGGTGAAGTAAACTAATATTTTTCTTACCCTTTTTTCTGTTAACTTTGCTCAGAATTTGATTACATATCTATAGAACTAGCGAATATAAATTTTGCTCATAGCTCGAAAAGTTCCTGTTTGAATTCCTTAACTAATGTTAGTTAAATGGAAAATCCTCATCAATGATTTAATAAATCGCAGTTGGTGAAAATTAAAGGGATAAGCTATTATTTTTTTGTTTTTTGTATTTTTGTATTTTTCAACTAATTTTTCCGTAAAATGTTCTTAAAATTGTATCAAAAGTTTAGATACGTTCCTAATTAAATGGTTCTTTTAAACATTTGAATTATGTATTAGGTTTCAAAGTGTAATGATCATAATAGGCGGCAGCTTAAATCTTACCGAATATTAGTTCAGTGTTAACAAGAGTATTTACTAAAAGTTATAACTTAATATAACCTAGTTAGTTAGTTTAGGATGCAAAACAAATAAAAACTTAAGTTCTGGTCTATATTTATACCAAAAAAGAAAATGACTAGCAGAGAATTTATTAAATAGAATTAAAATAAATCTATTTACAGCTAACATATTTCTGCTACTGTATAAGGTTTGCTCTGTTACCTATTTAAACTTCTTTAGCGAGAAACATAAATTATTTATTTATGTTTCAATTTCGCTTTAGATCAAAATAACTTCTGTTATAGACAAACAATAACTTATGTTCTATTTCGTATTTTTTTATTCTACGTGAAAATAACTTCTCTTACTCAGAAGCGTACTGACCTTTAGTTTCTTTCTTCGCAACCTATGAATCCTTGATGCTAGTTGCAGAGTTGCCAGTGTCTCAGGATAACGAGATGGAGATGTTGAGACATGGGCAATCATAGCTACCCTGCACATGACGCTACCCATGGCTTCTCGTAACAATTGCGTCAATTTGCTGTCCCTACCACAGAAAGAAAAATTTATTTTATATTACAGAAAATGATATAACAAACTATTGTAATGTCTAAATTTTATTCGTATGCTTTTTTTTATATCCGTCAGTGAACAGCTGACCCGATTTTTAGGTTTACGACTACTACTAAAGTTCAACTCCATAGCCTTGTAATTTTGAACCTATCCAGAAGGCAACGAAACTCATGGATCACCCCCAGAGGTGTCGATTTGTTATGGGAACATGGAGGACATTGCGACTGTATAGATTTAACGCGCAGTCACCATTTACTACACGGGGTTTCTTCGGCCGGCAGGAGTCAAACTCTTGAACATGGATCCAGCGCCCTACCGACCAGGCTATCCCGACCCTTCATTCGTATGCTTGAAGCTTTTCAGGTACCGGCCAGGAGAACCTAGTTGATAGGACACTAGGCTCGTGTTCCCGAGAACGTGAGCTCGAATTCGGCGGCCGGAGAATCCCTCGTGTATTAAATGGTGACTGGTGCACGTTAAATATGTCAGGATCACAAAGTCCTGCAAGTTCTCATAGCGAATAAATACCACTGAGAGTACTGAACTAGAGATCGATCGTTCTATGGTTCAGGTCATAATTATGATCTGTGGATGAATGAATAGAGTATGATTGGGTTCTCTCTGTAAAATGGACTGTGACGTGTGTCTGGCTGAATTCGTATTCTTAGCAATAGATGGCGCACTGAAAAGCAAGAAACGCACCCTCTGCCTTACAAATTAGCCTTATTTACCTATCAGGCTTGCTGGTGTTGGCATAAGTAACAACATTTTAGTTATTGTGACTGTTTTATGAAACATTATAGTTTTATAAAACATTACTGTTTTAAATTTTTAAAGAAAAAGATATTTGAAGTTATGCATGCCTAAAATTTCAAAAAAATCTCTGAAAATATAATGTAATAATATTTTTTGATGACTTATCAATATATGAAATGTTAAAGGTAAAGATAGTGATATTTTGCTTATACAATCACAAATGTCTCACTTATATCAGTTTATCGCAAAAGATTATCAATCTGTTGTTATAAACTGTCTTAATGTGACAAAGTAGTGACATGTGACTTTCAAATTCAAGAACATTGCTTAAAATGGAAAATAACAAATTCAAAATCGATTTTTATCAATCAAATTCTTACAAATCGAAATATTTTACTTCTTGGAGCTATGCATCTACAATTTAACTACTTTTTTCAAAAGATTCTGAAAGTTGACAACTTTAATGAGAACATTAATCAAAACATAAAAATAACTGTCATACACTTCCTTAGACAATTAACAATCATAAATTGCTGTAATTATGAATTGCATTCTAGATATTTTCTGAAGTCTTATAAAAATAATATGACATACAAACTGATAACATGCTGACATATTATAAAAATTGTGCTTTTAAGAATTTCCATGATATAGAATTCTAAAGTTATCGCTTCATCAAAAAAAAAAAAACATAAACAGCAATAAAGAAAACATTTGAACAATTATGGATCATCACTACCACAAGTTTAAACTTTTAATGAATCAGAACCATATTTAGTATTTAAATGAACGCAATTGTAAGTTTATTTAATCATAGACTTCTGTTGGTGAATTTTCCTTACATTTGGAAGACAACTTTTGTAACAGAGCTCACATGAGTGTTCCTTAATACATTGACAAAATATATTGAATTATTATGTCAAACATTTCATAAAACACCAAGTGCATAAAGCTTTAAATAAAATATATTTACTTTATAACATGATGAGGAAATGAAACTGTCTATTAATAATTTTATAACTTTATTAATATTTTAATAGCGAAAATGCTAGGCTATAATATCCCTTCAATTGTAATTTATAAATTATTTTTATTTCAAATACAAATAAAATAAGTATTGGTAAGCCATTAAGTAATATATCCATTTTAAAAATAGTTATTTATTTGTGCACATTGGAAAACAAACTTAGGGGACATATAGTGAAATGCATACAGTAAATATATCGCAAGATATGGGGAAAATCAATCTCTTTATTAGACATCATATTTTAGACTTTTGCTATAATCATTTTAGGTGCAATGCAAAATAACGTCACTATAAAATTATAAATTACTATAGTATAAAATTACTATAGTCAAAAAATTCTCTACATTTTTGATAGAATATTCTTTTAGCTGTAAAAATAATTTTATTTTTAATAGCCTTAAAGTATCTAACTACTGAAAAAAACGTGATTTTTGGCAAAATTTTTGAAATTGAGTTTATTATAAGTTTAAAATTCCTGTATTCTAAGCTTTCTAAGAATATTTCAGTTTTTTGTATTCCAGTTATTTACAAAGTTAAAGCAACTTTGTACAAGGTGATAACAGTGGATAGACTATTCTTTTAATGTGTTTATCTTATTCTAGTTAAATGTAAAAAGTGGTGAGAGATTACAGAAGAAAAAATATTTGTATAGTACTTCCTAATCGTTTGTGCAAATTTGAAAGAGTTCTTCTCCTTAAAAAAAGCATTGTTTACATAATTCTAAGAAAGTAATCAAATAATACTCAAACGTGTATGGAATACAGAATAGTTTAGGTTTTTTTAAACGTTAAGATTAGAGTTTTTTAAAGTCTTTTACTAAATAAGCAAAACATTTTAAATTCGCTATATTTCTTAAACTGCTGTTTTACGGTAATTATTATCTTCAAAGTTAGGGAAATCCAATTTTTCTTCCCCTAACAGTTTCCGGTAAATATTGGATTTTACGGTAAAAAGTACCGGTACCCTGAGGGTCTATACTTTTTAGCGTAATTTGATCTAGATTTTTTTACAGTGTGTGTTATCACCGAAGAATATGTTGTTATGCCTTCTATGTCTACCTTTGTTTACGCAATGTCATGAATCTTCCTGATCAAAAAATCGATTTAATATAATTTCTTTTTATGCTTGCTGATGCTTGAACCAAACTCATGCGGTATGCATGTTTAAGATACCTGGATAGCAGTTTTCAGTTTTTACTTAATGTAACTAAGTATTACTGGTTTGTGTAGTCTATTCAAAATTGCAAGGACTTTTTTAAATAAAAAATGCATGCTAAAAAATGGTATTAAAAATAAATTTCCTTTTAACTTTCATCTTCTGATTATTAGTTATGACTTATTATTAGTTATGAGCATTATTTGCAATGTAAAACAATCATCTTACATAGTTTTTCTTAACTTTAAATTCATCGGTGTTATATTGTTCACAAACTGTAAGATTTACAGATATTTATAACTCTTCGCATATAGCCTATCCCGTGTCGGTTAAAAGGTTGTTACGTACCTTGCTGGCTACTTAGAACATGAAGTTTTAAAGTACTCAGATGAAAAGCTATTTCAGCCTCTGCTATCTAAAGAGAATGTTTGTTAAGTTACGTTTTACACTATATTAACAACGATTAAAGTGTCACTTACTTGTAAGGCACGTGTTTCTGACCATTAAATAGTGCTAGGATCACATTTCCTAATGCTGACAATGACAAACATCCATTTGATCCACCTTCTCTGGATTTGCTTGTCTTTTCACAGCTACCCAGATCAAAGAGATGAAGTCTACTGCGACCTCCAGCAACTGAAAATTAATGGAAAAATGATGACGAAATTGCTTAACTCTGCTTGATAAAAACATTATGTTTAGTAACATATTTATATTAAACATTATTAGTAATATGTTTAGTTGCTTAGCATTATGCTTAGTTGCTTAACTCTGCTTGATAAAAATATTATGTTTAGTAACATATTTATATTAAACATTATGTTTAGTAACATATTTATATTAAACATAATACTTAGTAACATATATAACAAAAATGATGTTTAGTAACATATCTGACGATATTGCTTAAATCTGCTTGATAAAAACAAGCGAATGCACTAAATACGTTTCATGCTACTTTAATTTCAGCGATATGATGGAAATTTGTGTATACTGTAACATTGAAAAAAATAAAACGCACAAAATAATATTGTAAATTTTCTAATAAATTTGGACTAGTAAAAGTTATGACATGAAGTTTTGCTTCTCTTAACTTTGTATAGGGGATCATGCTTTCCTGTAATAGCTAAGGTATTTTTTTTGTAATATTTTTCATAATAATAATAAATTGAAAAGGTGAACATACTATTGAATTAAATGAGGCATTTTTTAAAATAAAAAATGCTTTTTAATGTATTTACTTGTACTATATTCCGTGGAGAAAGAAAATCTGGTAAAACTACCGTACTGTATGGTACTAACATGCCTTATAAAAAATAGCCAGAGACACGGACAATTTAACCATATTATGGTAGTTTAGACTCTAATTGATATTCAGTATTTAACAAAAAAATAATAAAATTAAAAAGGTTGCTCGGAATTCTTTTCACTAATCGAAGTATATGTATGTTCATAAGAACATATATGTATGTTCATACGAACATATATGCATGTTCATAAGAAAAAAAATTGGTTATTTCCAAGATTAAGAAAACAATAAATTGTATTTGTTGGATAATTAGTGATTCATTTAATAAAGCTATATATCGCTTTGAATTTATTTTGGAAGGAATTTATTTGTCTGCCAAAATAGATAACACCATTCTCCAAATTAAAAAATATCATTCAAAATAATTTACTCAATAGAGTTAAACAAGACAAAAAATAATAATAATTGAGCTATTTTGAATATTTGTGGCTCATTTAGCATAGTCGAGAAATATACACAGATATTTAAATAGTTCATTTTATTTCAAATTTAATATTTTGCTAATTAGGGAAATTAAAAATAACAATTGTACTAACTTATATTGCAGCGTCATTTCTTAATTTCCTAAAAAGCAGATAACGTTTTTAATTATCTCCATCTTTATTATCAAAAGTTCTCTCGATTAGAAATGTGCATTTTTGCTAATGTAAAATAATTTAATTATTTTAAAAAGGAATGCTTTTTTAATTATAACCGTAACTAGTATTATTATTCGGATGAATAGAATATAAATTTGAGGTTAATTCTGAAGTATTTATAAAAATGTCATGCTTAGGAAGATATGCATTGCGTTCGAATGAATTTTTTTTTATATATTTTCCAGATCAAAATTGAAAATATTTTCCTAAAAGGATTACCTCAAATTCGTGTAACTTACAAATGTACAGATTGCATTACTTTTATATATTTCTTATGGCAATATAATTTAAATGATCTTAAAGACAATCCCTTAATTTAAATAGAATCGTTTCCTGTTTATAATACATAAAATGCTCATCATCATTAAAAGCATCAAAAATTGATAAACAAAACTGTCTAGCGAGTCTTGAAAATGGGCGCCTATTTTTTTGGGTTCGTAATACGCAAACTAACACTGTCTTTATAATTTATTGAAACAAATAATAACGTTTTATATTATGAAGTATATGTTTTGCCCCAAGCAATAAAATTACGCCAGATGGCACTGATCAAGGTAAGTTTTTATATTAATGTTATAAACTTTTAAAGCGCGTTATAAATAATCTAATAACGTAAAGTCACCAAGAATTACAACAAAAAATAATCAATAAGAAAAAATTAATTATCTTTACTAATGACGTCGATATATACTTTTCAGTTTGGTGCATGTTTATATTGTATTGATTATCATCGATTTATTGATTTTTTACTATTTTTCACCCTCGAAGAACGGTTATTCAGCTATTAAAAATGCAGTCCAATTTTAGTCAGAGAAAATATCCAAAACTTATTACATAAATCTCAAATCTTGTAGAGGGAGATATGGTGGGGAAATTATGGCTCTGAAAATACATTACTTACTAGCGATCGAAAATATTCCTACATATTATCACCATATAAAATATATGTCAGACTTACCACCTCCGCGTCCACCTTTTTCTACTCTGTATTGGTAAACATGGAGAGTGAATAAAAAATGTGCATTTCTAGCATCTTCTTCTGTTTCTGAAAACGAAATAAATTATATATTATTCCCTGAATATGTTAGAAAATAATCGGTCATTTATTTTTTATTTTAAATAATCCATATTTATAAAATATTAAAAGGAAATTAATGAGTAGAATGCATTTGGACATGCGTTGTATAATTAAAATTTCATCAGTCAAGAAACAGTCAGTGTGATAATCTTCTAACATAATTGGAAATTATTACTTTTTTTAATTTTAAAAATGTCATAAAATTAAAGTTCAGTAATTAGTTGTTATGTTAAGATAGTTAAATTAAATTGAAATGTATGGTAATTACGTACATTACATCTAACCAAATAAATTTGTATCCAGGCTGAATAATATTCATAAGTAGCGGTTTAATCTTCTGTCAAACCAATTAAGAAATGTTTTATTTTCAAGTATACTTTCTAAGGACACGATGAAACATAAGAGTAACTATTAACATGAAATTAAATTAACTATTAACATAAAATTAACAATTAACATAAGTTTTAGTTGAATGAATCTTAATAACAATTTTGGTTCTCTTAGGAGTATACAATTTTTTCAGCACATAAAACAAATGTTACTTGGAATACTTATAAAGTTACTTATACTTGAATAGAAAAAATATATGTTTGCATTAAATAGTGCATAACAAAAACATACAAAACAATCTGCAAGGCATTTGTTCTTATTTGTATAAACTCTCAAAAACTTTTCTTTAACATTTTTTCTAGACATACATTTTTTTACCAAGCATTTTTAGTAATGATTACTAAATAACATCATAAATGCTTTAATTGATAAAGATGTGCTGCAAAAACTATGTAATACCTATTCGAATTTGGTGCTGAAAACGTGCTATTTGAAGTTAAAATGACGTTTTATGTTTTATTTCACATTACGCGTTAATTCGGGTTACGTGTTATCCAAATCAAGCATACGCACTTGTATGTATACATACGCAAGGGTGTAGTTAAATCTGAACTCTATTAAATGAGAAATATTACACCGAGTTCAAATGCATTTACTCCTTTTGTGAACTATTTTCGTCAATTTTGGCTTACGTTGTTCAGATACCGTTTGACGAAAACATAGATAATTAGCTTACAATTCGAGCAAAAAAATTTTGTAGTTTTTTTTTTTTGCCTCGCATGATGCTTAACATTTCGCAGAAACAGCAGTAAACTCTTTTAAAAGGAATGTATGTTTTTAGTTGTATAATAAAGGTAATTATATTCTTATAAGAAGATGCACATAAATCTGTCAAATATATTAAATAATTTTATAACATTTAATTTTAATTTGCTTCGGTTTTATTAAGCCTAGTTCAAATTTATAATAACGTTCTCTCTGTTTTGTGTGTATGTTAATTTCACTTTAAGAAAATATTGTAATATATACAACATAAATTAATAATTCTTGCATTACATTGCATTGTAAAAATATCTTTATTGTATCTTATGTGCATCATACATTTCTGTAATGATAAATTTTAGTGTTAGTGAGTAGCAAAAATGGTGATGACTAACTTACACCAAGTAGTGAAGAAAAACATCCTTGATTCCTGATCACCTAGATTCGACGCTCATGTATGACATTTCACCAAACTTTTAGGTGTAAAATAGTTACCCCTATTTTAGATTTTCTAAACGATTTTATCTACGTTCTTTATCTAATGTAATATAGCTCTAGTTGTTATTCAAAGTCTATTATTGTGCAAAAAAATAATGAAAGACTTTGCTAAAATAAAATGTTGTATAAAAACAGCCAAAATTTCTATGCATAAGTAGAATTTATTTTGAAAAACATTGTATAAACAGCTTTCTGACGTTCTTGACGGTTCTATATACAATTTTTTTTTAAATTCATGCTTAACATGTTTTTTGAATGAGATCTGCGATTATTAATATGCCAGAAATATTAATACATTTTTTAAAAAGTTCATACATCTTTCCAAAGAATCAAATTTCCCTTCTTTAATTTCATCATTTATTCTCGCTGCCTGCAATTTCACATTAGTTTTAACAGCAAAGGTGTAAAGGAATTCCTGTTTAAACTTTAATGACCCGTGACGCGCATTATTAATGCAACTATTAAAATAGATAATCCTCCGGAAAGACTAATGTCCAGTAGGATTATTACTAACAGGATTATCTTTATTACCTGACGTCCGGGCAGCAAGTGCAGCGTCCAGCAGGAAGGCAGCTCTATCAGCGGTCGGTGCTCTGAGCTCGCTCTGGTTCATGAGCTGGGATCCGAAAATGGGGTCGTCTCTCAAGTACACCCCTGGGGATGCTCCACTCCCCTCAGTACCTGTAATAAATGAGACCACAAGTTGACAGCTGGTTTTCCCATGTGGGCAATTGGATGATAGTCCCTCTCATCATTGTGAAAATCACCTGAAGTACGGAGTTCCCATTAAAAAAATACGGAGGAAGAAGTGTGCCATTAAAAAAGTTTTTTTTTATACCTTATTTTAATTGTAGGGAGGTATTCGAAACTACACAAGAAAATGGGGGTCGAAAATAGATGTATAAATATGAGTAGAATAAAAAAACGAAGATTGACGTCATTGACAGGGCCTGGTTATAGCATAAGCACAATAGGCATGGGCCTAGGGCACACAATTTCTGAGGGGCCCTAAAAAATTAGTAAAAAATCTAATGAAATGTGGGCTAGCTTTGTGTTTGCGTAAGTACTAAATAAAAAATAATTTAGCTAATCAGTGACTTTTAGCAAAAATCACTGATTTCAATTGGTTGTGGTCACCAAACTATTTTTATTTTGACAAAACATTGTTTCGTTGTTTTATATTTTGCTTTAATATATAGATGNAAATAAAAAATAATTTAGCTAATCAGTGACTTTTAGCAAAAATCACTGATTTCAATTGGTTGTGGTCACCAAACTATTTTTATTTTGATATAACATTGTTTCGTTGTTTCACATTTGCCTTTAATTTATAGATACGTAAACTTTATCTTAGAAAAATAATCTTCAATTGCCTGCTTTCAAAATTTCTTAGAATGTTTCTTTTGAATCACGCAGCTCAATAGATTCTTTTTTATTGCTAAAACAGTTAGGACAGCTAGTTCAGTAATTTAGTTTAAAATTATTTTGTAAGGGACCCGAAAAATTTGGTGGGCTTTGGGCCTGAATTTGTCATGATCGGTCCCTGGTCATTGATATTAATGAAGTCGTTGGTATTAATGAATAATTGACGAAATTAGTCTTATTTCAAGAAATTGTGAAGCTTTAACTAGTTGTCACCGTTGCGCAGTTGTCACTTAGTAAAGCAAAAACAAATGGAGGCTGGATAGAGTTAGAACGTGGAGTATTGTATCAACGCATTGAAGAAAATACGAGGGTTGTAAATTAAATAGTGGCAACTTAACCTTGAAACTCACAGAAGGGCGGGCATGCGCAAATAGGATATGGGAACGGTGAGTTGGCGTTATTGTCGATGTGTAGAGTGCAAAATACAGTCGATCTGCTTAGAAGGGTAGTTGTTGTGTGGCGTTAAAGTGAAGAGTTTCGTTTCTATCGCTCTAAAGCATGTTTTCAAAAGGTGATCAGCTGT